AGATGACAAATTGAGTTTCTTTTGGTATCTTTGGGTACAACCACCTGCATCTTTTTTTCCCCTTGAAATTTTTTGTTTTGTTTTGGTTGAAGAAACCAGATCATTTATCCCATAGTGTGTCCCAGAGTCTGCATTTTGCTAATCACATCTCTGTGGTATTGTTTAACATGTTGCTCTGTCAGCTGTATTTCTATAAACCTTCAATTTATTTGAGGAAATACTTGCTATCAGAAGGCAAGTGTTGTGCATTTCCACCAACAAGTACATATTGGCTGTTTCCTTTTGTTTTTTTTTTTTTATAAATTAATTTTTATTGGTGTTCAATTTACCAACATACAGAATAACACCCAGTGCTCATCCCGTCAAGTGTACCCCTCAGTGCCCGTCACCCATTCACCCCCACCCCCCACCCTCCTCCCCCTCCACCACCCCTAGTTCATTTCCCAGAGTTAGAAGTCTTTATGTTCTGTCTCCCTTTCTAATATTTCTCACACATTTCTTCTCCCTTCCCTTATATTCCCTTTCGCTATTATTCATATTCCCCAAATGAATGAGAACATACACTGTTTGTCCTTCTCCGGTTACTGTGGCCAAGTTCAAAAAGGGTGTTGCCTGAGTTCTTCTCTGGGATTTTGATGGAATCTTGTCTCACATTTAGATCTTTCATCTATTTTGAGTTTATCTTTGTGTATGGTGCAAGAGAGTGGTCCAGTTTCATTCTTCTGCATGTGGATGTCCAATTTTCCCAGCACCATTTATTGAAGAGACTGTCTTTCTTCTAGTGGATCGTCTTTCCTCCTTTATCGTATATTAGTTGAGCATAAAGTTCAGGGTCCACTTCTGGGTTCTCTGTTCTGTTCCATTGATCTATATGTCTGTTTTTGTGCCAGTACCACACTGTCTTGATGAACACAGCTTTGTAGTACAACCTGAAATCTGGCATTGTGATGCCCCCAGATATGGTTTTCTTTTTTTAAAATTCCCCTGGCTGTTTGGGGTCTTTTCTGATTCCACAAAAATCTTAAAATAATTTGTTCTAAGTCTCTGAAGAAAGTCCATGGTATTTTGATAGGGATTGCATTATACGTGTAAATTGCCCTGGGTAACATTGACATTTTCACAATATTAATTCTGCCAATCCATGAGCATGGAATATTTTTCCATCTTTTTGTGTCTTCCTCAATTTCTTTCAGAAGTGTTCTGTAGTTTTTAGGGTATATTTTGAGAACCATTTGAATGGCAAATGGTTCTCCAACCTTTTATTTTCAGGTTGTAGGTGTCCTTCTGTCTAAAATGAGTCTCTTGTAGACAGCAAATAGATGGGTCCTGCTTTTTTATCCAGTCTGAAACCCTGCGCCTTTTGATGGGGTCATTAAGGCCATTCACGTTCAGAGTTACTATTGACAGATATGAGTTTAGTGTCATCATGATATCTATTTAGTCCTTGTTTTTGTGGATTGTTCCACTGAACTTCTTCTTAAAGGGGAGTTTTAAGAGTCCCCCTTAAAATTTCTTGCAGAGCTGGTTTGGAGGTCACATATTCTTTCAGTTCCTGCCTGTCTTGGAAGCTCTTTATCTCTCCTTCCATTCTGAATGAGAGCCTTGCTGGATAGAGTATTCTTGGTTGCATGTTCTTCTCATTTAGGACCCTGAATATATCCTGCCAGCCCTTTCTGGCCTGCCACGTCTCTATGGAGAGGTCTGCTGTTACCCTAATATTCCTCCCCATGAAAGTCAGGGACTTCTTGTCTCTTGCTGCTTTAAGGATCTTCTCTTTATCTTTGGAATTTGCAAGCTTCACTATTAGATGTCGAGGTGTTGAACGGTTTTTATTGATTTTAGGGGGGGATCTCTCTATTTCCTGGATCTGAATGCCTGTTTCCCTTCCCAGATTGGGAAAGTTTTCAGCTAGGATTTGTTCAAATACATATTCTGGCCCTCTGGCCCTTTCGGCGCCCTCGGGAACCCCAATTAAACGTAGGTTTTTCTTCCTTAGACTGTCATTTATTTGCCTTAATCTGTCTTCATGGTCCCTTAATTGATTGTCTCTTTTTTCCTCAGTTTCCCTCTTTGCCATTAACTTGTCTTCTATGTCACTCACTCGTTCTTCCACCTCGTTAACCCTCGTCGTTAGGACTTCTAGTTTGGATTGCATCTCATTCAATTGATTTTTAATTTCTGCCTGATTGGATCTAAATTCTGCAGTCATGAAGTCTCGTGAGTCCTTAATGCTTTTTTCTAGAGCCACCAGTAGCTGTAGAATAGTGCTTCTGAATTGGCTTTCTGACATTGAAGTGTAATCCAGATTTTGTAACTCTGTGGGAGAGAGGGCTGTTTCTGATTCTTTCTTTTGAGGTGAGGTTTTCCTTCTAGTCATTTTGCTCAGTGCAGAGTGGCCAAAAACAAGTTGTATTGGAACACGGGGGAGTATCACTGGTCCGTCTAGCTGGTCTTCTGGGGGAGGGGCCTGCTGTGCTGATTTTCAGGTGTTAGCACTTGGGGGAGCTGCTCTGCCCCTGCCTGCTGCAGGGCTCAGCGGGGGTTGTTTACCCCGTGGGGCCCCAGGAGGATCAGCCGCAGTTGCTATGGCAACTCTGGAAGCCTGGATTCAGCCTCCGCAGGAACTACGGGGCTCGGGGCTCTCGGCTCTCCGTCCGCAGGGCCTGGAGGCTCCAGGGCGGGGCCGCTGATCTGCTCAGCTCGGGGCAGGAGCGTCCTTGCTGTCCTGGGCCCTCCCGGCCTCTGCCTGTCCCAGGGGGAGGCCGGATCCTGGGCTGTGTCCCGGCGCCCTGTGCTCCGGGGCCTGCGCTGTGGGATTCGCGCTCCCGCCCTGCAGCTCCCTCCCTGGAGCCGCTCCCGAGCCCCTCCGAGCTGCTCCGGCCCCGCCGTGCGCGCTGCAGCCCTTAGGGAGCTCGGCCCACTCTCCTGCGCTCGCAGGTGTCTGTTAGTGTCCCAGGGAGCCCGAGGGCATCCCCGCCCTCCTGGGTCCTGCTCTAACTCCCTGCAGGCCCCTTTCCGCCCGGGAAGGTTGGTGCAGCTCCTGCTCCTCCGGGACGGGGCTCTCCTGTCCTGGGGACACTCGCCCCGGCCTCAGCCCGGCTCCTCGCGGGCCCCTCCCCCTCGGAGGCCTTTTGTTCCTTTATCTCTTTTTCCCCGTCTTCCTACCTTGATAGAAGCGCGGACTCTTCTCACTGTAGCGTTCCAGCTGTTCTCTCTTTACATCTCAGGCCGAATTCGTAAATTTTCAGGATGTTTTGAAGGTTATCTAGGTAATTTGGTGGGGACAGGTGATTTGGGGACCCTGCTCTTCCGCCATCTTGCCCCTCCCCCCGGCTGTTTCCTTTTGTGATATCAGTAGCCCCTGACAATCATCACCTTGACCCATTGATTCAATGAGGTTGAAAAATGATAATCTAATCCTATCATTTACTTGTTAGCTGGAATCCTTCTATAAAGGAAAAACTTTCTATCATTAATTATTTGGTTATCCTGAGAGAGAAAGGCAAAGAACTGGTTCCCAAGCATGTGCCAAAGACAACCAGTGGGCTTGTTTAATTATTTTAGAATCATTATGAACTCTTGAATTTAAGCATATTTTATGTTTTATGCTATTGCAATTATTATCCTTACTGATGTACAAATTGTCCCATGTATAGCTAGTGAAGTTTTATTCATAATGGCTCTTTGTGTACCTCATTCTAGAAGTTTTTGATAGCTTCTTTGTTTTCTGATGTTGTAAGATGTTTCAGGGTCATCAGGTATATTTCTTGCCTTAGGCCTAAAACCAGTTATTTTTCTAAGGAAGCCCCATTCAGGGAAATGATATTAGAGATCACAGTTTAGATGCTTAATTATTTGTTAGATTACAGCAAATATCTGAGTTAAAAACCTTCCCTAAAATTGAAGACATGAATTAAGAACAAAAAACCCCCCAAAACATAAAAATGCATTATTAACACTAAAGTCCTAACTTCACAAAATTTTAAGGTGATCATTTATTATTTAATTATTAAACTAATACTTGCTCATGTCAAGTGATATACGCTCATGTAAAAATTTATTTATTATTTATTTATTTAAAAATATTTTATTTATTCATGGGAGAGACAGAGAGAAAAGAAGAGATATAGGCAGAGGGGGAAGCAGGGTCCCTGCGGGGAACCTGATGCAGGATTCCATCCCAGGTCCCCAGGACCATGACCCGAGCCAAAGGCAGATGCTCAACCACTGAGGCACCCAGGTGCCTCCCCCACCCTTTTATATAAAGTATATAGAATAAATGTGGGAGTCGTCTTTCATACTCTACTTTCCCCTCTTTTAACTATACCCATTCTGTATCCCAGAGGTAAATATGCTTTATGAGTCTTGTATCTTTCCAGACTTTGTTGTACATACTTATACACCAACATAGATATATAAGTGCACATGTTTATGTGACTAGGATCATATTTGATATAATGCTTTATTTAGTTCTATATATTATATATGTAATATATATATTATATATGTAATATATATTATATAATATTAATGTTCAATATGAATATGTGCTGATCTCCTTAATTTGCTTTAATGGTTTAAAAATATTCCATAGTATAGATATACCATATTTTGTGAAATTTACAAATTTAGTGCCCATTTGTTTCCAGATTTCTTGCATTATAAATACAACATCCTTTTCTGTTTATCTTTGTATGTAGAGTCCTACAAATAGAATTAATTAGGTCAAAGGTATATGCATTTAAAATGTTTATATATACTGCCAAATTGAATCCCCATAAGGCTTCACCAGTTAATATTCCCAATGATGTAGCAAAATACCAGTTTCTTCATACCTTCAGCGTTAGATGAATTATTGTATTATATATTTTTCCCATTCTGGTATGAGAAAATCTGATTTATTATTTTAATATTAATTGTAATTATGTGGCAGATAATTTTTGTTTTTCATGTAGTAAATAGTGTTTCTTTTCTAAAAATCAGTATTTTTCAGTCCGAGTTTGGAGACTCCTGCGTCCTCCGACTTTTCATGGAAGAGATGTCAGGAGAAAGTGTGGTGAGCTCAGCGGTGCCAGCGGCTGCTACCCGCACCACTTCCTTCAAGGGCACGCGTCCCAGCTCTAAGTACGGAAAGCTGAATGTGGGCGGGGCCCTCTACTACACCACCAGCAGACACTGACCAAGCAGGACACCAGGCTGAAAGCCAAGTCCAGCCGGCGCATGGAAGTACTCACTGAGGGATCCCTGGGTGGCGCAGCGGTTTGGCGCCTGCCTTTGGCCCAGGGCGCGATCCTGGAGACCCGGGATCGAGTCCCACGTCGGGCTCCCGGTGCATGGAGCCTGCTTCTCCCTCTGCCTGTGTCTCTGCCTCTCTCTCTCTCTCTGTGTGACTATCATAAAAAAATAAAAAAAATTAAAAAAAAAAAAAAAAGGAAGTACTCACTGACAGTGAAGGCTGGATCCTTATTGACCGGTGTGGGAAGCACTTTGGTACAATACTCAACTACCTTCGAGACGGGGCGGTCCCCTTGCCTGAGAGCCGCCGGGAGATTGAGGAGCTGCTGGCAGAAGCCAAGTACTACCTGGTCCAGGGCCTGGTGGAAGAATGCCAGGCAGCCTTACAAAACAAAGATACTTACGAGCCTTTCTGCAAAGTTCCTGTTATCACCTCGTCCAAGGAAGAGCAGAAACTTACCGCAACTTCAAATAAGCCAGCCGTGAAGCTGCTCTACAACAGAAGTAACAACAAATATTCATATACCAGCAATTCTGACGACAATATGTTGAAAAACATTGAGCTCTTTGGTAAGCTTTCTCTGCGCTTTAATGGAAGGGTCCTGTTCATAAAGGACGTCATTGGGGATGAGATCTGCTGCTGGTCCTTCTATGGGCAGGGCCGCAAGATTGCCGAGGTCTGCTGCACCTCCATTGTCCATGCCACTGAGAAGCAGCAGACCAAGGTGGAGTTCCCAGAGGCCCGGATTTATGGGGAGACCCTCAATATTTTGTTGTACGAGGCCCAGGACGGCCGAGGACCTGACAACGCGCTCCTGGAAGCCAGGGGTGGGGCAGCTGGTCGCTCTCACCACCTGGATGAAGACGAGGAGCGAGAGCGGATCGAGCGTGTGCGGCGGATCCACATCAAGCGCCCGGATGACCGGGCCCACCTCCACCAGTGAGCAAGCAAGCAAGCGAGCCACCCTCCTCCTCCCTCCTCCCCTGTCATTCACTCCAATTCCTGCAGGCTCTTGGGCACCTGCCACTTCCCCTGGAGTCTGAAGATACTTTTGTACCAAGCCAGATGATTATTTTGATATTTCTCGACCAGGTGACTGTCTTTCCCCCAGATGAATGCACCCCGTTCTTGACCAAGCTATGTCCAAGGTCTCCCCCTTCCATGGGGATCTGAGAATCTTTGGAGCTAGGCTTTCTTGGTTCTCGGAGAAAAGTATGAATGGGTATGAAGTGGATGTGAGAAATTTTATTTGCAGTATTTATTTTTGTGGGTGTTGACTATGATTTGGGCTTTGGGGCGGCATGGCCCTGGGGTTCAGTCTGACAGGTCCGGGAGGGATCCTGCGGTTGGTGGCCACCAGAGGATTCTCTGAGCTATTTCCTAATCCTCCAGCCCAGCATGCTGGCTGCTAGTTCCTGTGCCCTAGGTCGGGCCGGCTCCAGGGCTTTGCCGGAAGTCCTTCTGCCCCAGGACTTTGCACCTCTAGCTCATGTGGGTAGATGATTACAGTTTGTGGCACGGAAGGTAGGACTGCTGAGCTTCGTGCCTCTGATTGTTCTAGTGTAGCTCTGGGTGCCCGGCTCTGTTGAGGGACAGGCCTATTAGGACCTCACGTGGCTAAGGCAGAGCTGGCCCTGGCAGGGAGTGCACGGCTCTGTTCCTGGCTCCCCCTGCCCCTGCATCTGTTCTCCTTGTTGGCCAACTCCCTTCTAGAAGGCCTTGTGGCCTGTTTAACAAGTGGAGCTCGCATACCGTCACTTCTTGGGCTCTATTCTTTCTTCCTCAGCCTTCTTCCCTGTTAGGCTGGGCTTCCTCTCTCCAGGAGAAGCCCTGCCTTTTGCTTAGAAAGTGGAGGTGGCCCGGCCTCTGTCCACCAAGCCTGGCATCCAGGCAGGAAACCCATTCACACCAGCAGTCTCAGGGCAGCTCCCCTGCTGTAGGCGCAGCCATCACCCGGAGATCCCCCTTTTGTCTTTGCCTCTGATTTTTACACAGTATGGAGTAGCCACAGCGAGCAGAGTTAGAGGATGTGCAGACCCCCTGGGGTCCAATAAAGTGTTCGTGTTCATGTTTACGGGACGTGTGCGACTATGGATGGGGATGTGTGCTTGTGGGGCGCAGGGGGCCTGCACTGGAGCCCGGCTGTCCACATGGTGCTCGTGTAGGACGGACGTTCTCGGTTACCTACCTCCCAGTCTCCTCTGCGCCTGTGAAGGGACAGAAGTGAATGGTGACTGACGTGGCTGGTTGCAACTAGACTACGTAGAGTAGTTACAAGGAGATGTGAACGTGTGTAAGGTAATGGATGGGATTTGTCTGCTTTACAAGGGAAACATTACTGTTTTATACCAAAGGTATTAATATGGGCAGCCTTTGACACAGTGTATTCCAAAAAACGAGTTTATATTTTGAAATGGTTTTTACAGCTTAGGCTTTGTACACACTACCCTTCTTGGGACAGTTGCATGCCTTTATTTTGTATCCAGCAGCAAAGCCTAGAATAAAACTTTAAAACAAAAACAAAACAAAAAAAAAATCAGTATTTTACTCTTTAATGGTATCTTTTTAAACAGGTTTTTAATTTTCATATATTTGAATTTGGCAATTTAAAAAAGTATTTTTAGATTTTATGGCTTGTTTAGTATTGCTTAAATTTTGTAAAAGTATTTCCTCATATTTCTAATATCTTTTAGAATGTGTGCTTTTAATCCCTTTGAAATTTGTTGATTGTTTTTGCCACATTGACAGATAATGTTCCAATACTATTTGCACATGATTTATCCTTTTCATACGTTTGAAATACTTTTATCATATATTAAGTTCTCATATTTTTTAGCTCACTGCTAGACTTTATTTTTCAACTCTTCTAGCAATGCAATTCTTAATTATTTTGATCATATAGTATCAGCAGTTAGTATAGTATATATAACATATTTCAATAGTTATACTGCTATCATTAATTTTTTTTAAGGTCATTTATTTTAGAGAGAGTGGGCAGGGAGAGGGCCAGGAGGGAGAGAGAGAATCCTGAAGCAGACTCCCTGCTGAATATGGAACTCCATCCCAGGACCCTGAGATCATGACCCGAGCAGAAATCAAGAGTCAGCTGCTCAACTGACTGAGCCACCAAGGTACTCCTATCATTATTCTTTTAAAATGTTTTCTTTACGGGGTGCCTGGGTGGCTCAGTCAGTTGAGTGGCTGACTCTTGATTTCTGCTCAGGTCACGATCTCAGGGTGGTGAGATCCGGCTCTGCACCAGGTGTGGAGTCCACTTAAGATTCTCTCTTTCTCTCTCCCTCTGCCCCTCCCTACCACTTGCATGTGCATATGTTCTCTTTCTCTGTAAATAAAATAAATGTTTTCTTTGCTATTTAATTATTTTTTTTTAAAAAAGATTTTATTTGTTCATGAAAGACACACAGAGAGAGGCAGAGACATAGGCAGAAGGAGAAGCAGGCTCCCTGCAGGGAAACCAATGAGGGGCTTGCTTGATCCCCAGACCCCAGGATCACGCCCTGAGCAGAAGGCAGATGCTCAACTGCTAAGCCTCTCAGACATCCCTACTATTTAATTATTTTAGATGAATTTTTATGTATATCAGCTTTCAAAAAAAAATCTTGTTGGTATTTTGATTGGGTTTATATTAAATTTATAGAGTCATCTAGAAAGAATTGACATCTTTACAACATTGAGTCTTCCCAGCTAGTAACATACTATAGGCAGTCTTCACTTTGTGTGGTACTACAGGACTGTAAAAATGGCCATGCAAACTAAAACCATGCAAAGTGATCTCAATAATCAGTGGGAAAAATTATGATTGTTTTGTGATCTTCAAAAATTTTTGTCAAACCCTTAACTCTTCCACTGTTGGCTGTAGATATATAGGGAAATAAAATAGTAAAACTAGTATTTAGTGCATTGTAATTTAAAATATTAGAAACAGGGGATCCCTGGGTGGCTCAGGGGTTTAGTGCCTGCCTTTGGCCCAGGGTGTGATCCTGGAGTCCTGGGATCGAGTCCCACATCAGGCTTCTGCATGGAACTTGCTTTTCCCTCTGCCTGTGTCTCCACCTCTCTCTCTCTCTCTCTAATGAATAAATAAGATCTTAAAAAAATATTAGAAACATTGAGAAAGTGTTTTCTTTTTCCTAAGAAACTTATCAAGATTGGCTTCAATAATGCTTGCCTTCTGTCTTGTCATGTAACTCATAATACAGAGCAAGGATGTTTTCTATGCCTTAGTGAATTGACACTATTTTTTCTATAATTCCATTTATTTTCAATTTGAATTTCACTTTCAGTATTACCATATTTCACTTATGTACTGCAGTTTCATATATAATGGCCAATTCCCCTCTTTCAATGGTCACTTTTATGTCATGTGGGTTTACCACTGGAGATAAGGAGACAATGCAATGACACACTTTGCTGTCTATGCATAAACTGAATAACAAATATGCAGTGATCAATCACTAACAGACTTTGAGAGAAGTGATGTGATTGGTCACTTATCATGATACTCATCTGTTTTTTTATGTAATGATTTGTGGACTGTAATGCTAATAGTAAAGTTTGTACTTTATAATACCATGGTAGCAAATGTTGGGGATAACTAGTGTTATTTAACTAAATTGTGGTACTTGGAACTTGTGCATGTTGGAACTATGCAAAACAAGGGCTTTCTGTACTTGTTTCCTAGGCATTTTATGTTCTATAATAAAGATTCATAGTTTTCTTCATACAGGCTTTTAAGGTTTCTTATAACAATTCTTTTTTTTAAATCTTTTTTTTTATTTTTTATTTTTTATTTATTTACGATAGTCATACAGAGAGAGAGAGAGGCAGAGACACAGGCAGAGGGAGAAGCAGGCTCCATGCAGGGAGCCCGACGTGGGACTTGATCCTGGGTTTCCAGGATTAGGCCCTGGGCCGAAGGCAGCACTAAACCGCTGAGCCACTCGGGCTGTCCTCTTATATCAATTCTTAGATATATTGTAGTTTTTGTTGTTACTGTGAATGAGATCACTTTTGTATTACATTTTCTAATAGGCATCACTGGTACATAGGACAATTTTTGGTTTCTATTTTGGATCTAGCCATGTTGTTGAACTCCTGTTCTTACAGATTTCAGTAGATTGCTTTAGTCTTTTTAGTTTTAAAGTAGATATTCACATCATTTGAGAAATGAAAATTATTTTTTTTCAGCTGCAAATAACTGGAAGTTGACTAACACTGTCTTAACCACACAGAGGTTTGTTTGAGTCACATAAAGGGAAGTGTATGACCAAGCATTCTAGGGCTGGTTCAGCAGCTCAGCAACGCCCTGAGGTGCCCAGACTTTCCTTTACATTCCCGCATCTCCTTCTGGCATTGAGTTGGTACTCTGCTTGTTGCCTCACAGTCAGTAAATAACTGATGACCTCCAACCTTTAATCCTTAGTCCAGTTAGGATGCAGGAGGAAGGGAGGGAAGAGAGGACGGTGCCTGTAGCAGGGAAACAAAAATCCTTCCTAGAAATCTCCAACAGTCTTTTACTTATATCTCATTTTTATTTTTGTGTTTCACTGGGCCACATGACTGTTTTGGCTGGAAAGGGAGTCCAGGAAGCTATTTTTAGTCAGTTATGTTGCCATTCCAACTATATCTTCTGTTAATTAAGAAGAAAGGGAACTTGGACACTATGTAGATGAAAGTATCTTTTCATTTCTTCCTGTGATTATGAGACTACAGGTTTTCTATATCTTCTTGCATTCAATTTGGTAATTCATATATTGCTTAAAAACTAATCTAATTCATCATGATGCCTAATTTTGTTGACGTATACTATATGTGCTATTATTATGTCTTATATTTAATTTCTTCCATGTCTGTAATTTTCTCCCTATACTTGTTTCTAAATTTCTTAATGTATGTTCTCAATCTTTTATCCTTGATTAAATTTTCTAAACCTTAGTCTTTTATGTTACTCTTTTCAAGTCATCTGTTTGCGGTTTTTTTTTCGTCTCCTGTTTCATTAATTTTTATTTTTCTCTTTATAAATTAAATATTTCTAATTTCTTTAGGTTAATTTTTTTTATCCTTTTGGCTTTCTTGCCTTAGTACACAGTTCATTTATTTTTAATCTTGTTTTCTCATACATGAAATTAAGACTACACAATTTCTAGTGAGAACCCCTTTGCCAGTTCTCATTGTCATTGTTCCTAAGTAATCTGCATTTTTCATATTGATTTTATTTTTAACCTAAGAGTTCTATGTTAGCTGCTTTAATTTTCCAAATGGGTTGGGTTTTTTTG